AAGGAGTCCCCATCAGACTGTCAGTGGATTTCTCAAAAGAGACCTTACAGGCAAGAAGGGGCTGGAAAGAGGTATTCCAAGTCATGAAATCCAAAGACCTACAACCAAGATTGCTCTATCCAGCAAAACTTTCATTTAGAATGGAAGGACAGATAAAGTGCTTCTCAGATAAGATCAAATTCAAGGAGTTCATCATCACCAAGCCCTTATTATATGAAATGTTAAAGGGACTTATCTAAGAAAAAGAAGTTAAAAAAACATGAACAGTGAAAGGACAGCAAAGTCACAGTTATTAAGAACCACACCTAAAACAAAAGCAAACTAAAAGGACAGCTAGATCAGGAGTGGAAACATAGAAATGAAGATCTCAAGAAGGGTTAGCAACAGGGGAGTGAGAGGAGGAGAAGAGGGGAGAAGGTACAGAAAATAAGTAGCATAGGCAGTAGGTAGAAAATAGATGGGGGGGGGGCAAGAATAGTATGGGAAATATGGAATCTAAAGAACTTGAAACACGTGGTCATAAACTAAAGGGGGGAATGGTGGGGATGGGGGGTGCAGGGTGGAGGGGAATGAAGGGGGGAATAGAACGACTGTAACAGCATAATCAATAAAAAAATACCTTTAGAATAAAAAAAAAGAAATTGAGTTTCATATGCGACTTCTTTTCACAACGTTTGATGAAAACTCAGGTCATGTTGTTAGAACACAACTCTTGAAGGTCTGCAAGGGACGAAGCTAGGATGATGCCAAGCCCTTCACATGAATCTTCTTAACCACCATATATAAGAGCAGATGATACTTTACCCTTATTTTATGAATTTTTTTATTTATTGGTATTATAGAGAGAGAGATGCTGTTTTGTTGTTCCACTTATCTATACATTCATTAGTTGATTCCTATATGTGCCCTGACCTGGGATCAAACAGCAACTCCAGCACATCGGGACAATGTTCCAACCAACTGAACTACCTGGCCAGGGCCTATCACCCTTATTTTACAGATGAGGAAGCTAGGATACGGGAAGGGGAAGGGCCAGATCAGATAACTGGTGGTTAGCCAGTTTTGTAAGCCAGGTCTTAGACTTCAGAGGCCCTGTTCTAACTGTCCCTCCCTGGGCCTGCCAGCACTACCACATACAAAATTAAAGGTACTCTGGGTTGAGAATCAGAGAAAAGGACAAGAATCATTGCTTCAAAATATGTCTGTATTAGCCAAGAGAGATCAGTGAGATCTGGTAAATATTGGGGGGGTCTCTGAGTCTCTTAAGATGGGTTGCTCCTAATAGAATAAGAAGTAGGGCTAGGCTCCATGAAGGCAGAAGGAAACCCCCAAATTTGGAGCTGAATAGAACCTGTTACTAGAGATTTAATAGAGGCTTCAAGAATGAAAGAAGAAATAATAGTACAAGCAGTTGCCTTAGGACAGCTGCTGTCTAGAAAAGAAGAGAACTCCTCTGCCTTGTTTTTACTGAGCACCCATTATGTACCAGGGACGTGCTGAGAACCCAAGTGACAGCAAGGGAACTAGTCTACTGAGTGAAAGGAACTTTCCAAGTTGTCTCATTTTCAAAATAATGCTACAAAGTAGGTATGATTATCAGTATGATTGTGCCATGTTATAGATGAAAAAAACTGAGGTTCAGAACAATGAAGTGACTTGCCCAGGATCCCACAGCTGGTGCGGGGTGGAAGTGGATGGAGTTTGAACCCATGTCTGCCTGACTCCAAATGTCTCTTTTAAAAAAAAATTATTTACTTTTAGACACAGGGGAAGGGAGGGAGAAAGAGAGGAAGAGAAACATCATTGTGAGGTCGCCTCTCACGCAACCCCCACTGGGGGCCTGGCCTGCATGCAACCTGGGCATGTGTCCAGACTGGTAGTCAGACTGACGACCCTTTGGTTCACAGGCTGGTGCTCAATCCACTGGCCCACACCAGCCAGGGCTGACTCTGAGTGTCTTTAAATGCACCGTGTTTCAACAGTAGGAAAGAAAAGATGTGACAGATATGACATTCAAATTCATTCTATTTCTTCATCGTTGTTGTTTAAATAAAATTTAAATAATTGAACACCAAATGGGTACACATCCACCAAAAATATTTCTTCAAACATCTTGGAGCATATATAGCTTTGTCCTAATTTAGCATCAGTTCCTTGAAATTGATTCCCAAAGAGGAATTCCTGTGTCAAAAGGCCTAGACATTATTTAAGACTTTGATGCATATTGCCAAGTTGCTTTTTAAAAGATTTTTACTGAGTCATTGTCCTTCCAGCAATGTAGAAGAATCCATTGCTCACACTAACACAGCTTTGGTGTTACCAGTTTTTTAAACTTCAAGTTTAAAAGGTTATAAATAAGCTCTTTCAGTTTACTTAGAAGGTAGAAATTGTCCTGTGTTTATTGTGTCTCATCTGTTTCCTTCGACCATTTATTGTGTCCTTAGTCTGTTTATTACCAATTTTATGTGTCCTTCACATAACAGAAATATTAACCCATTGTGTACCAAACATTTCCTCAGTCTGAAGGTCACTTTTTACTGTTGGCTATGATTTTGGAGTAGCGTATGGGTATTTTGGGTTGTTTTTAGCAACAGAAAGTTAGAGAATGTTTTAATGTTTTATAAATAAACCTGTCCTTGTTTCCCTTGTGACTTCTTCCATTTTCCCTAATCTTAGAAAACCATTCACTCCTTCAGTGGCTTATTTTCTGTCAGGTTCAAGGGAAGATGGAAATGGCGGTGTTGCTTTGTTATCTTTTTAATAGCAGAAGAGAGAATAAGATTATTTCCTTTTTCTCTTCATCAATTTGATCCTTCTTGACTCACTTTTTGTTTTAGTATCTTGATACATGCTCATTGGGTGGGGAGTGGAGGCAGCAGGAAGTAATGTGTGTGTGTGTGTGTGTGTGTGTGTGTGTGTGTGTGTGCATCCCCAAAGGTCCAGAAGAATAAGTACTGCAGAATATTAACACTTGGTTATTTCTGGTTGATGAGAACAGGGCTGGGGTGGGTTTGTTATTATGCCTGCCCAGCACCCCTCCCTATTTCCTTTGGGCCAGATACCCCTCTTCATTCCTTGTGACTCTGGTGTGGCTGCCCACGGCAGTACATTTGCCCAATATAGTCCCTGATTACCCTGGCAACAGTCTTGGGGGCCAAATGCAGGCATCCAGCAGAGTCCTCCCCTGAGCATACAGTTCTCCTTCTGCTGGGTTTCCCGGGAAAGCTGGGGCTGCCTCACACCCTGTTTCCTGCCAGGCAGAGATCACTCTGCAGAGGAAAGGAAGCCAGTGTGCAGAGACATCGAGACGCGGAAAGAGGAGAGAAAGCAAATGCCGTGAGTACTGGTGCCTCCGCTTCCAGTCTCCAAGATCTCCCAAGATCTTGATCCTGCTGTTTTTCTTTCAATCTTGTGCCAGCTGTTGTGAGCCATCGGTTCCTCTGGCTTTGGTTGGGTTTCTGTTCCTTGGCAAATGAAGGAATCTGGTCAGCGGCAAAAATGGTCTGATGTGTGTTTTTAGTATTTTATGTAAATTTCTTGCAATGATCATGTATTACTTGTTTAGTAGAAATACTTTTTAAAAGAAAAAAATGTGTTTGCTAGAAAAAAGAAAGCATAAGTACCCCCCCAAACTTGCTTAAAAGTAGGCAAAATGTGAATAAAACCGGAGTGTAAAAATCATACAAGTCCTCAGGAGGATGGAGGCCACCTTTCACCTTGAGAATGTTAATGAGATAAACAGGAATTTGAGTGAGACAACCTCAGTTCAGGGGGTATGTTGGGTGGGTGTAGGGAGTGGAGATTAGGGGCTCAGCCCTGGGCACAAAGTATGTTTTTTCATGGACTAGATAGTTTGAGATACCAAGATTTGGGAGAGGAAAATTGCCCCTTAGCCCTGACCCTGGACAAATCAGGTCCCTTGTCTGAGCTACACTAAGTCTAGCTCTGATATTTTGAATCCCTAGAGACACTTCACATCCATCATCTCAGAATTTTCAGGAGAATTGAGTCGGTCATCAACATTCCCATATTCCAGATGAAGAAACTGAGGCTCAGACAGGTAAAGAGTGACCTAGGTAATTCGATCTCTAAGGCCTTTTTAGGAGCCTCAGCCATCTCCCTCACTCATCTGCACACTGGACATAATAAATGGACCGCCCTCTGACACAGTCCAGAGAATTAAGAGGAGAAGGCCAGTTGAAACTGAGTTGCAGTAAGCATTGTCTTCTTCCCATCTCCAGCCGGAATTCAGGAAGGGGGAGAGGGCACCGGGAGGTGACTGAGGTGGAGTGGGGCTGGGGTCTGAGGCAGTGTGCCCCCCTTGCTGGTCACAGTCCAGCCCTACCCCCACTTCCTGCGAGCTGCTCCCCCTTCCTTCGCTGCACACCAAATTTCTTCCCAAGGAAGGCCTTGCGAAAGAGGACCTCGGTCAGGTCCCTTGGCCGCCTGCCTGCCGCCCCAGGAGCGGTGGGGGCCCCTCCGCTCCAGCCATCAGCCCCTGGCGCCTGTCCAGTCACGTGGCACTTGGTCCTCTCTCCAGCTTCCTCCAGGATCCTTATTTAACTCCGCCAACTGCCCCTTGCCTCCCTAGCCCGTCCTTCTGGGCACCACCCTGAGGTGTAGGGAATTGGGGCGTCAGCTCTGCCTTGCTGAGGGAGGTCCCTTATTTTTTCCACTTGTCAAGTGGGATCGCCACCCGTTACGACCGCCTCGATTCTCTTCATTGCCTCTTCTTTCCCTACTTACTGCCCCATCGCCCCGTCCTCGACAGTCTCCTGAGCCCTGTGAGGGACCCAGCTCCCTCCCGGGCACCGGGGTGGGGGTGGTGGCGAGGGGCGGGGAAAGGGGCCGCTGGGCCCTACGGGCGCTCCCGGAGCCGTCGGACAGAAGCGCTACGAGGACGGAGGGAGACGGGCCAGCCGCCGGCGTCGGCCAGACCTGCGCTCGCATTCGGCTCTGCCTCTGACCAACTGCTGATTTTGAACCCTCCATCTCCTTGGGCCTCAGGTTGCCTCCTCTGTGAAATGGGGGTCCTACGGGAGGCAAAGAGCGGGAGGGCCCGGCGGAGGGTCTGACCTGTGCCAGGGGCGCCCCCCCCCCCCGCCCCGCGCGCCTCTCCCCAGCCGGGGAGCCTCGCCTCGCCTGCGGGTTCCTCGTCCCCGTCCCTCCGCCCCAGGCTCCTCCTCTACTGACATCAGAGCCGCAGGCGGGCGGGGGGAGCCAGCTGAGCCCAGCCGAGCCCCAGCGAGAGAGCGGGCGGGCGGCGGACCGTGGCGGGATCTCAGGGTCAGCCGCCTCCAGCCTCCCGACCAGCCCCGCGGCGGGGCAGCCACAGGTACAGCCGCGGGACCGTCCCGCCTTCGCCTTGCACGTCTGGGAGGGCGGCCGGACCCCGCGGCCGCTGGATGCCCTCCCCCAAGGATGAGAGGGAGTGCTAGGGTGGGCTGGACTCTGGACGGGCAGGGCTGGGTGGGCCTTTTCCCGTGACCGCTGCCCCAGACACAGCAGGTGTCAGGCGGGCTGGTGGGGAACTGACTGGATAAATAGAGGAAGGTGGGGAGGGCTGTGTGCGCGTGTGCGCGCGCGTGCGAGCAGCTGGGCCCGAATGGAAGGACCGGGCATTTGAAGGTAGAGATGTGTGGGGGCCGGGTTGGGGGTGTGCTAATGTTAGCACAGGCATGCGGATCATATGCAGAGTAGTGGTGTGCTGGTGTGTAAGTGTACCCTTATGGGCGGGGATGTCTGGGAATCAGTGTTTTTGTTGCAGATATGTGTCCAGGTGCTGTGCATGCTGGTATCTGGCTCAAAAGATCGTACGGGGGGCGGTATATGGTTGTGTACTGAGGATGTTTGAAGTAAGGCGTGTAATTTGTTGGGGTTCGGTTTGGAGTGTAGGAGCTTCTAGGGTGTACAGGAACTGGAGGGTAAAGGGTATGAGTGAATCTGGGATATCCGGTATACAGGTGAGGGATATGTGTGTGTTTCTGGGTGTCATCTGGTCTAGGTATACACAGATGTGTGCTGCAGGGTGTGAGAGGGATCTGTGGGAGTGATATTTAGGTGTGAGGCTGTCTGGGGGATTATGTGTTTGGACATATGTGCTGATGTTTGGGTGTACCGATATTACAGGGTGTCAGGGCTTCTGAGTACGGAGGGTGCTGGATCTGAAGGCAGGTGTTTGCACTCAGAGGTGTGGGTGGGGCTTGAGGTGGTGTGTCTGGGTGCAGGGATATGTAAGGAACTATGGGGGTTGTATATATGAGACCTCCAGGTGGATTTGAAAACTCTGCCTCTAGAGCTTACCATCAAGTCTAATTTCCTGAAGGGGTGGCTGGTGCTGAGGTCCCACCATGGCCTGCCACTGCTGCATACCAGGCCAGGCCCCCATGAAAAGGAGGTGCCATCAAAAGAGAAGGATCTCACACCAGGAACTCTAGTCAGAGCACCTTCCCCACGTTCTTCTGCAAAGGAAAGGGAGAAGGAAAGTGCCCTCTCTGAAGTCACACAGCATGCTGAGCTCTGTTTTAACCTCACCCTTTGTGAGCCTGGGATGGGGTTGCGAGGCTTTGTTTTCTGAATGGGCCCCAGTAAGGCTGCACATTAGAAGGACCAGTGGAGGGCAGTCTTTCCAATATAGGAAGGAGCCCTCTAAGGCTTTTGCTCTTAGAAAACTTTGTTGGGGCCCTAGTGAGGGGTCATTTGGGAAACTCTAGACAGAGCTCCTGCTCATTGCCAGCCTCTGTCTCCCCATTCACCATCTGATAAATGGAGAAAGCACTCCCACCCTCTCCTGCTGAGGTCTCAGTGGAGTAAGGTATAGGCCAGATCAGAGTAAGGTGAAGTTTCTGACTCTGATCGAGAGGGGATAGGCTGGGTGGGACCATTTCTCAGACTGCTGAGAGCCAGATAGGGAGTCAGGTGGGAGGGGGAAAGTAGGAATCCTGGTGAGCTCCAGCTGTGGCTGCTGTTGCCGTGGCAACAGTAAAGAACGAGCTATTTAAAAACGTGGCTGAGATATTGCTGGAAGCCCAGGCTGCCGGAAGCCTGATTTTCGAGAGGCTGGGCGGTGTGAAGAAGGAGGAGGGAGACGCCCCTGCAATTCCCGGGGCGGGGCTGGAACGTTGCTGGTTCTGGGGACAGGGGATCCTCCTGGGCTTTGTGCTTCTACAAGCTGCTCTGGGGTCTTTTCTGTTGTCCTTTGAGAGGCCAGAGTCTCCTGGGGTATTTGGATTTAGAGAGGGAGAAACTGGGAGGTAAGCTGAATAAAATGAATGAATGAGTGAATGACTTCGTTGAAGAATTTTGCTGCTGCCATGAAGAATTTTCCTCTAGCCATAAGAATTTGCTAAATGAATAAATGACTGAATGTTTGTTGAGTTATTTTGTCATGTAAACGAATCAGAGAATGAAAAAATGCAAGCTGAATGACTGAACAGGTCTACCAGTAAGTTACCACATAGAAGTTTGAGCCCTACTGAGTTTTATCCCTCCATTTCCCTTTCCAGGAGCCCTGGCTACGGCCAGGGGGCAGTGGGCCATGCCTGGGGCAGTGGAAGGCCCCAGCTGGAAGCAGGCGGAGGACATTAGGGACATTTACGACTTCCGTGATGTTCTGGGAACGTGAGTCTCAGGGCAGGAGAGAACGGGGGCTGTCCCTGAGCTGAGGGGCGAGGTTGGGAAGGTCCTTACTCTTGGACTTGGCTAGCCGGGGAGGCTGAGTCCAGGGTGGTGCTTCCTCTGGCCAGTTAATCACTACTTCCTGTTTCCTATAGCCCAGGCCCTCTGGCAGCCTTGCCATGGCCAATACTGGCTTTTCATTTCTGGTGACAGTGGATGGAACCGGAGCTGCTCTTGTCACAGCTTTGGGTTCCTATGAAAAGAAGGAAGTAGGGAAGAGTGAAGGAGTCAGTTTATTCAACTCGTTTCCAAGAGCTGGGAGTTCTGGCCTACGTCTAGGGATGGATGCTGGCCAAGGCTCTGTTCTTAGTGCTGGGAGTCCAGAAAAAGCTGAAACCTAGTCTTTGCCCTCATGTTGATCCCAGACATGTGAGGGAGACAGACACATGGAAAATGACAGCAGGGTACATGGTAAGCTCCAATTAAAGAAGGGAATGAGGATTCCTTAGAGCCCAGATAGAGCAGTGGCTTCTGCCGGGGGGAACACTTTATGGAGAAGGAAGCATTAGAGCTGGGTATTGAAGGATGAGTAGGAGTGCACTTGTCAGAGAAAGAGGAGGACATTCCAGGCAGAAAGATAGCATAAGCAAAGGCTTAGAGGTGTAATTTGTGTGGAAAGGGGTAGAGTCAGGTGGAGCTTATAGTCAGAGGCTGGGAAAGAAAGGGGAACTGGTCATGCAAGGCCTTGAAAGCCAAGCCGTGGAAGCTGGACTTTATCCCACGGGCCATAGAAAGATGTTGAAGACTTTTTCGCAAGTTTGCAATTCAGGACAGTTACTCTGGCCCTGGTAAGGAGGGTAAACTGGAGAGGGACAGGACTGAAAACCAGCAATGAGGCTACACAGTCACGAGCTATTTTGATGACTGAGATTTCACCATGGGAGATGCTTTTGACTTATGACCTCTTATCTAAAAGTAACAGAAGGAATACTCTAGCCCTGGCTGGTGTGGCTCAGTGGATTGAGCCCCGGCCTGCAAACAAAAGGTCACCAGTTTGATTCTCAGTCAGGGCACATGCCTGGGTTGTGGGCCAGGTCCCTAGTTGGGGGCATGCGACAGGCAACCGATGAATCTTATGCACTCTCTTTAAAAGTAAATAAATAAAAGTAAATAAAATCTTTATAGTGTAGTAAACCCTCCTTAATCAGTGAATTTCAGTGCAACTGAGTTTAATTTGTTCCTTTCTAAGAGCCTGTTATAAAGCACTGCTTCTCAAACTTCAGTGAGCATACACATCATCCAAGGATCTTGTTAAAATGCAGATTCTGGTTTAGTAGGTCTGGGGTGGGGCCTGAGATTGTGCATTTCTAAACAGTTCCTAGGTGATGCTGATGGTATTTAAAGGTTCTCAAGGGTGTTAAATTAGTCACGAATCAAATTGGCTTTAGCAGAAAAAGAAATCAATCAAGCACATAATAAAAAAAACCCAGGGTGTGAACTTCAGGCATGGCTGGACCCAGGGGCTCACATGATGTTATCAGGAAATTGTCTTGGACCATTTCCCCGATTTCCTTTGTGCTGGCCTCTTTCTCGACCAGGTTCTCCCCAAGTGGTGGCAAAGATGATTACCATAAACCCCAGGTTTACATTCTACCAGCTTAGCACAAAAGAGTACCTCATTTTCAAAGTGCCAATAAACTGGCTTGCATCACATGACCCCATTATTGTGGCCAGGGCACAGACTATTCTGATTGGCACCAGAGGATGGATTGAGTGATGAAGGGAGGCTCATCCCACCTCCTTTGGTCCTGAGGTGGTCACACAACCCACAGGGAAAAGAGGAAAGGCTGGAGGAAATTTGGGGTTCCAGTTCATTGCCTCATGAATCCCCTCTCCATGCAGGGGGGCCTTCTCAGAGGTAATCCTGGCAGAGGATAAAAGGACTCAGAAGTTGGTGGCCATCAAGTGCATCGCCAAGAAGGCTCTGGAGGGCAAGGAAGGCAGCATGGAAAATGAGATCGCTGTGCTGCACAAGTGCGTGAGCCATAGCCTGCACTTGCCCAGGCTGACCCTGCCCTGACCCTTCCCATTCTCATCCAACCCCTGCTTCGGGCAAATCATCTAACCTCTCTGAGCTTCAAATTATTCACTGATAAAATGGGGTAATAATCTCCACTTGTCAAGGTTGTGACAAGCATTAGCAACCCTTTATTTCAAGTGCCGGGCACAATAGCTAACATGACAGATGTCATTGATATGTCATTGCTTATTTACAGAGGTTTAATCTGTTCAATCAGGTCTGAAGGTCAATCCTTGAACAGGGCTTGAAATCATGCATCTCAACTGGTGGTATTGCTAGACATGCCTTGTTCCCCCATGTAATAAACCTCTCAGCAAATTTGAAAATGCCTATGTGCTAACTAACTAAGTCAGCACCACCTGGTCTATGAATTGTTCATGCCGATATGAAACTTGCTGCCTCACTGGAAAGTTTATAGAGAATCTTCACTTTCAGTCTCTTTCCTGAGCTTTCCAACCATCCTGCAGGGACGAAACGATCATTTCCACTATTGGTGGTAGGGGTGGGGGAACTGAGGCTCAGAGAAGGCAGAGGACTTGTCCAGGGTCACATGGCAAGTCTATGGCAAAGCCATCTTCCATCAAGGTCAGTACCGTCATGGTTAGTTTACTGAGTATTTACGATGTGCCAGGCACTATATGAAGCATCTTACTTACTTACCTGTTTATTATGTCATGCGATCCTCACCCCAGTTCTTTGAGGGAAGTACTATCATTGGCTTCATATTATAGATGAAGAAACTGAAGCTCAGAGAAGTTACACTCAATTCAGTGAGTACTCGTGACCCCCTCCTCTGCCCCAGGTGCTGGAGGAACAGTGGTGAGCAGGATAAAGCCCCTGGTCTTGTGCAGGCTGACAGATTTATCAACACAGAAAAAAAATTTAAATCATACTGATCAGCACTGCGAGGTGAAACACTTGCCCCCAAATAGCACATGGCAGAGGCAGGTTTGGGCCCAGGTCTAGTTACTAAGAGTCTAGTGTTTACCTCTGTGCTCTCCACCTTGGAACACGTTGTAATCAATTGTGGTACCTCAGCTTTTTGCCTTTGGGATCCAGATCCTTGGTGCGTCCTACCCAGGATCTGAGGCGGTGGTCCTTCAAGGTGAGGGTGGGAAGGGAGCTGAACTGTTCTCAGCTCTGAACCACCTCTTTTCTCCACTCAGGATTAAGCACCCCAACATTGTCGCCCTGGATGACATCTATGAGAGTGGGGGCCACCTCTACCTCATCATGCAGCTGTGAGTAGCCCACCTGCATCTGACCCTTCCTCACACCTCTCCCTGCCACGCCCTCCCTACCTTTCCTGCTTCTCTTGCTTCTTTGGCCAGACTGTCCTGTCCCTTGCTGCAGGGTGTCAGGAGGGGAGCTGTTTGACCGCATCGTGGAAAAAGGTTTCTACACGGAGCGGGATGCCAGCCGCCTTATATTTCAGGTGCTGGATGCTGTCAAGTATCTGCACGACCTGGGCATCGTACACCGGGACCTCAAGGTGGGGTGTGAGGGTGTGGTGACCTGGGGCACCCAGGGATGAGGGCTCTGCACACTCCTCACTGTGTGGCCTTGGGTAACTCTCACCCCCTCTCTGAACCTTCGCTTCCCATCTACAAAGAGGAGCTTGTAAACTTTAAATTGCCTCCTCCCACTCTGGTTCGGGCATGCAAATGGAAACAAAGGTGAACTCTACTGTCATGTCATCCAAGTAATATCTTGTGTCTTTTTCTGATAATAAAAGTCCCACTTGCTCTTTGTAGAAAACTTGGATGTTGTAGCACATCTCATTCCAGTCTAGAAGACCAGATCTGGGGTGAGACAGAACTGAGTTTGAATCCTGACCCTGTTACTCCCTAAGTGTAGGTTTTCAGGCAAGTCACTAGGTATAGACTTTCCTCTCAAGACATCAGTTTCCTCATCTTAAGGTAGGGATGTGGTAAGACCAAAGTGAAAGCAAGTGCTAGTCAAGTTGGGGCACACAGTAGGTGTTCCAAAATTATTTCTTTAGGGTTTCGCAATAAACACCTGAGGTTTATAGAAAATTCCCTCCCACATCTTCGTAGCCCTGTCCTTTCTGAAACTTTTAACCTCCTTGAGAACTTCCTTGAGTTTCTTGTGATAGTATCTGTGAAGCCACAGCGGCTTTTGGGGTCCCATTGTTTCCCAGGGGTGCTTGGGGAAACAGAAGGTTTGGACAGCCTCTGACTGTGCCTTCCCCTCCCTCCCGCCCTTTAAGCCAGAGAATCTGCTGTACTACAGCCTGGAGGAAGACTCCAAGATCATGATCTCCGACTTTGGCCTCTCCAAAATGGAGGACCCCAGCAGTGTACTCTCCACGGCCTGTGGGACCCCGGGATACGTGGGTGCGGAAGGACCTGGGCTGAGGCCATGGGAGGGGGAGGAACCAGGAGCTGCAGGGCAGATCTGTCACCACCATGTCCTCTTCCCCCACAGCCCCTGAGGTCCTGGCACAGAAGCCCTACAGCAAGGCAGTGGATTGCTGGTCCATCGGAGTCATCGCCTACATCCTGTGAGTGGGGGCTCCGCCACTGGGGTGTATGGTTCCAGACTTCTCTCCCCTACTCTGTGTTCTCTTCCTCCCCTCTGCTATTTCTTCCTTCCTGCCATCTACATTTTTATCTACCAATTAATGGCTAATATTACTTCATTCAATAGATACTATGTTTCAGGCACTGTACCTAGCACTGAAGATTTAGCAGAGAACAAAATAAAGTTTCTGCCCTCAGGAAGCAGACATTCTAGTAGGCGAGAGAAAAGTAAATAAACAAGTAAATAAATCCATAAAATATTGTCCGGTGGTTAAAAAAGTACTATGAAGAAAAATGAAGTAGGGTAGAGAGAGGGGAATGGATGCCATTTTAGATGAAAAGGTTAGGGAAGTCCTCTCTAAGGAGGTGACATTTGACTGGCATCCTGAATGAAGTGAGGGAGCCAGACATAAACACCAAGTGCAAAGGCCCTGAGGAAGAAAACATGGTGACATATTAAGGAACAGAAAGTGGAGCTGGACAAGAGTGAATAAGGCAGAGAGGGGTAGATCTACCAAACCCCCTTTGTAAAAGGGAGAACTCTTTCCTGTGGGTCTTGCCTGACCCCTGGGACTGCCCTAAAGCTCCATTGGGAGCCAGTGTGTACACGGAAAATGGAAATGAGGATGAGTTTCTCCCTGCCCAGGCTCTGCGGTTACCCCCCCTTCTATGACGAGAATGATGCCAAACTCTTTGAACAGATTTTGAAGGCCGAGTACGAGTTTGACTCTCCTTACTGGGACGACATCTCTGACTCTGGTATTTGGGGCTTTGCCTTCTTCCCCTGGGCCCTGCCTCTAGTGCTTTCCTCACGCTTTGGGGGCCTCCTCACTGCCTTCCTTCAGTCGGCTCCCCGGCCCGAGACTAAGAGCTGTCTGAGGCACCCACCCCAGTTCCTCCCTCTGCCTGGCCCTGATCTGAGAAACCTGTAGGTATTCATTCATTCTGCCTTCAAACATAGTATTTTTGAAAATACTTCCCCCATGGACTTCCTAATGCCTAAAATACCACATAAGTTTTCATGTGTCCTTTTGTGCCTCCTAGTAGGAGGCAACCCTGTGAAACCCTTATTAATCATTTACACATCAGTGTGAATGCACTGAGTAGAACCTTTTCTAAGAACAAGTTTTTCTTAAGGGAAAAAGGAGACAGCTGGAAGGCTGGGGTGGATGGAGGGCTTAGAGAAGAGAACACGTCGGGTGGGGCGGTGCATGGACAGGTCTGGCCTCCCGTCTTGCTTGGATACCAGGCCAGACCTGAGGAGGTAGGTTCTGCTTTGGGGCTGTCTGCAGGCACTGCCATGCTCTTTCCGTCTTTGCTTTTGTCTTGGGGGTTCAGCCAAAGACTTCATCCGGCACTTAATGGAAAAGGATCCAGAAAAGAGGTTCACCTGTGAGCAGGCCTTGCAGCACCCATGGTGAGAACTCTGATGACCTGTGAACTGGGGTGGGGCCCAGGGCCCCAGTCCTGCTCTGCCTTCACAGAGAAACTTCCACACACCCTTACCCTAGGATTGCAGGAGATACAGCTCTGGATAAGAATATTCACCAGTCGGTGAGCGAGCAGATCAAGAAGAACTTTGCCAAGAGCAAGTGGAAGGTGAGCCCATGTCCCTAGTCCTGGGTCCCAGCCTACCCAGAACTCCTCCGCACCCCCAACCAGGCCTTAGCTTGCACAATACCTAGCACCAAGTTGGGCACAAAGTAACTGCTCAAGAATGCTTACTGAAGAAATTCTTTCTTTTTAAAGATTTTACTTATTTTTTAGAGAGGGGAAGGGAGACAAAGAGAGGGAGACATCGATCAATTGCTTCTTGCACTCCCTGAACTGGGGAGCTGCTCTGCAACCCAGGCATGTGCCTTGACAGGGAATTGAAGCAGTGATCTTTTACTTTGAGGGACAATGCCCACCAAGCAATGCAGGCCAGGGCCGAAGAACCTGTTTCATCCATTCATTCAATGCTCCCTATCACCTACTGTATTCCAGTGAGGGTTCCTGACCTCCAAATCTAGAGGGAGAACAGTGTATAATTCTTAAGGAGACATCAAATCCAACCCACAGGGTCCTAGAAGGGGCATAAAGACCTGGCAGCTGGGTAGGAATTAGCCAGGCACAGTAGAATAATGTCTAAGGCAGAGAGGACCAATGTACAAAGGGCCAAGGGCAAGAGAGTGTGGCCATCCAAGGATGTGCCAGCGCTAAGCCTGACTGGACTGGAAGGGCTTTGGGGGCAGTGGGGACTGAGTGACTGAGGCAGGAGCCCAGGCTGGATATGCAAATAGGGGCCAGGCTGCTCAGGGTCTCAAGTGCCACAATGGGGCCCTGACTTAATCATGATGATTGAGCCCCAGGATTTTCAGCAGGAACTTGCCCTTTAGAAAAGGCTCTCAACCAACAGAGAGAGGCACAGAGAGAAGGCCAAGTCCCCTTAGGAGGCTGTGGCAGAGGTGCGGGCAGGAGACTGAAGGCTGGACCAGAACAGGGGCAACAGTAACAGAGAACAGTGGCTGATGTAGGAGTTGGTTAGGAGGTAGAATTGACAAGAACTGACGACAGAATGGATGTTGGGCTAGGGATGTCAAGGCTGGCCCCAGATTTTGGTTGAAGAGAGGGTGGACAGTGGTACCGTCACTGAGATGGAGATCCCAGGGGCATAAACTTATCTTTGGGGGATGACTCTGGTTTTGGATATGGTGAACGTGAGGAGTGGATGGGGACATCTACTTGGAGATACTGAGTAATATACAAAATCTGGGCAAGTTACTTAACCTCCCTGTGCCTGTTTCCTCCTTTGACAGGGATGATACTAACAGGACTCCCCCCAGAGATGTCTGTGAAAATTAAATGAATTAGTATGTAAAGTGCTTAGAATGATGCCTGACACAATACTATAGTTTGCTATCATGTGAATATGAATTAATTATATATAAAAAGCTACATAGCCCTGGCTGGTATGGCTCAGTGGATTGAGTGCTGGCCTGTGAACTGAAGGACTGCCAATCTGATTCCTGGTCAGGGCACATGCCTGGGTGGTGGGCCAGGTGCCCGGCTAGAGGTGTGCAAGAGGCAACCAATCTGTTTCTCTGAAACACTGATGTTTCTCTCCCTTTCCCTCTCTAAAAAAAAATAAAAAATTGAAAAAGTTATGTATCTGTTAATATATACTATTTATATATGTGCATATATATATATATATATATAATATGGCTGCATTTAATAAAGCCTTGCAGATATTTCAGGTGGTTTTAGGGGATCAATCTTTAATACCTAAAAAAAGAAGGAACCACTGCAAGAATTGCCCTGCCAGACACTGCCCCATGGTCTCCCACTTTTTCAAAAGTCCCTTCTTCCCCCTCTCCCCACAGCAAGCCTTCAATGCCACGGCTGTGGTGCGGCACATGAGGAAGCTACATCTGGGCACCAGCCAGGAAGGGCAGGGACAGACTGCGAGCCATGGGGAGTTGCTGACACCAGCAGCTGGGGGTGAGGACCAGGGCTCTGTGGAGGGGCGTGCGTGGTCCATGAGGAGGCGACCAGGTTGGAGTGGAGGGTCTGCTTCCACAGCCAAGTTTGTTTTCTCTTCTCATGTAGGGTCAGCAGCTGGCTGCTGCTGTCGAGACTGCTGTGTGGAGCCGGGCCCGGAAATGTCCCCCAGACTGCCCCCTCACCTCTAGGACGCTGGATCCAGGGTCAGGATCCCCTGTGTGGGGGAGATGGGGGCAGCCTACTCCCCTTCCCTCCTTGAACTGGGGTTACCCTGCCCTACCCCACCCTTTCCCTACCACGCCTCCACTGCATTTTCCATACAAATGTTTCTATTTTATTGTTCCTTCTTGTAATAAAGGGAAGAGGATAAAACCACAGGTACCTTTGTCTGACCAGATAACCCCCACCCCACACTATTGTGCAAATTGCTCAGTTTGAGGGTTCCTGCCCCCTGAGGTAGTTGCATGGACCCCTCTTCCCAACATGAGGCTGGATGGAGAATAATGGGTAATAGAGGGAAAAGGTATTGGGAGAATCCCTTTGTCCGGTGCCTCCCACCTAGTCTTCAGGCCCTGTGGATCTCTTTCTGCGCTTTGCTGGTGGCTCATGGTAGAGATGGCGCAGGTCAGCACTGAAGAGCACCTGGGGACAGGGGGAAGTCTGTGTTGGGAGAAGGTACACTGAGGTTAGGGAGAGTGGGGCCAGTGGTAGTGTGAGGGGACACAGAGTTCCTAGGGAGCAGGCCCAGGATAATGCAAGTCCACTAGAGTCAGGGCTGGGAACAAAGGGTAGAAAATCCTTTAGGGTCACCTGGGTCAGGGCTGGGGGAGAAGTTCTATGCGGTCTGGACTGAGGAAGAGAGAAAGCATAGGTATACTCACTGCTTGGGCCCAGCCAGCATAAGGGCCCCACAGGCTCCGGAAAAAGTTTCCTAAATCAAAAGTAACAAAGCAAAATAAATTTTGCCCCTCCCACTCCCATCCACAGGGGTGGGGTTTTCGGGAGAGGTGTGAGAAGTTCCCATTGACTCAGTCTACTGTCAGCCTTGGCATCTCCCCATTTACCCAGTTCCTTGTTGGCCCGGGGGCTTGGACCCTTGGCCTGGGTTGTGGTAGGATGCCAGCTGTAGTCACGCTGGGCGATCTGCCACATGTGGACATCCACGGGCACGGCCTGGGGCTTGTTTAGGGACATCAAGCAGATGCAGTCAGCCACCTTTGTGATGAACACAAAGTGAGCCACAGAGGAGGAATGATAGGATCCAGGCAGCATCCTCTTTCTAGCCCCAAAGCCAGCTACTTCCTCCTCCACTTTGAGGTTACTATTATTCTATAATCTCAATATATGTCATATATTAGTAATTTTCAAAATGCTGTGATGAGATTGCTTCTACATGAACATCTATGTAGGCCAGGTTCTCATCACAACCTGAAAAGAAGCTCGTACTATATTTCATTTTGCAGACAAGAAAACTGAGGTTCTGAAGGGTGAAGGAACTTGGCCCAAGTTACATGGCTAGGAAGAAGCAGAACAAAGATTTAATGTTAGAGTGAAGTTCAGAGCCCATTAAAAACAGTTCCTTAAGTAAAAATTCATTTCTTAAACTACAGAGAAGTATACAGAAGAAAACAATAACTGCCAGATTCCCAATTATCTTGATTCTAGCTAACCCTGTTAAGATTGAACAAAAAGATTTATAAGTACATATAATTTCAAGAAAGAATAAAATGAAAAGTAGAAATATCTTCCAATTTGTCTTCCCAAAGGTAACCACTACTGTTTCCTGTGGTTCCTTCTAGAAATTTCTGCATACATATAGCAGTGTATGGATGTACCTGACCTTTCTACAAATGCATTCAAAGGGCAGTGTCCTATACACCCATTTTGCATTTTCCCTAATAAAATATCTGCTTGTATCCTTTTTCCTTCTTGCTCCACCTTCAGAAGCTGAGCCTGCACCCAGCTCTCAGGTCTGCCTTGTTACCCTCTACATGGGTAGTAGCCTGCACCCAGCTCTCAGGCCTACTCTGTTACTTTCTACATGGGTGGTAAGGGTAGCTCCTACCCCACTGAGGCCTCACCTTGGTACCCACCCCAGGAAGGGTGCAGAGGGCCCTGTGGGCCTCTTCGTAGGGGGCCTTGCGCAGCTGCTGAAGCCAGGGAAGCCCGCCGTATTCTTCAAGGATGGTTCGGGCACTGGCACTCACGAAGCGGGCACGGTACCCAAGGCCCAGCTTCCTGAGCTGAGCCTCCACCTCTGGCCCTGGGGGGGGGAGTTCGGGTAGGGAAGGAAGCAGGTGTCAGGTACCTTCAAATCCTTTATGTCCTTAAGCTAGTGCGAGCCTTCCATGCCAAATGAATGCTCTCCCTTAGCACCCTTTTCCCACGTCACTATTTTTTGGAGATACTTGTCTCTGTAAAAACTTGTCTCAGTTAGTTAGAGCATTGTCCCCAGATGCCAAGGTTGCAGGTTTGATCTGGGTCAGGGCACATACAAGATACAACCAATAAATGCATAAATAAGAGGAACAACAAATCAATGTCTCTCTCTTAAAAAACAAAACAAAACTTGCTTCACAGGGTTGCTGTGAAGAATGTATGTTCTTGGACACAAAACTGTTGGGTTCACTATGGAGACAGCAACTTGAATTTTCTGCATATTTCTCATATACCAAGCACTGTGCTAGGTGCAGTATGTGCATTCCTTTACCTAACCCTGTGGCAACTCTGATAGGTTATTCTCCCATTCAACAGATGAAGAAACAGGCACAGAAAGGGTAAATAAGTACCAGAGCCAAGATTCAGACTCAGGCAGTCTGTTTCTAGAACACATGTGCAGCAGTTCTCTCTATGGAGCATGCCTGTACTTTTCCCTCCCCGAAAAGCACATTTTTCTTGCCTCTTTCTCCTAAGCTCCAAGCACCCTTATTTTGCCTCTGGAACTTGTTCCCTGAGCTCATTTCTTATACAGCTCACTTGTTCTACCTCTGTGACTTTTTCTTTTAAAGATTTTATTTATTTTTAGAGCGAGGGGGAGGGAAGGAGGAAGAGAGGGAGAGAAACATCAGTGTGTGGTTGCCTCTCTTGCACCCCCTGCTGGGGACCTGGCCCACAACCCAGGCATGTGCCCTTGACTGGGCATTGAACTGGCAGCCCTTTGGTTCACAGGCCTGTACTCAATCCACTGAGCAACACTAGTCAGGTACCTCTGTGACTTTCTAAATAATTTCTCTTAAAAAAAAAAAACAAACACGTGCATTTAACCCCAAAGTACTGTACATTAAATATGGATGTTTTTCTGAAGTGGCATTAAACCATGGGGCAAAAAGCACAGAGTAGTGAAGTCATTTCAGGGACAGATAGGGAGGGTAAGGTATGACTGGGACTGATCAGACAAAGCAGGGTGATTCTGGATGAGGACAGGCTTTGGGAAGGCAGGAAACTTTGAGATGGGAGATGAGGACCATGGGAGAACTAAATAGACCTTGAAAGCTGTTAGTGAGCCTTGGGGCAGAGACCCATTTACTCACCAGCCAGGGCCTGTAGGCTGGGGAAGCCATGGTAGGTGACATCATCAAGCTGGACAAGTCGAGGTCCGAAGGCCTGGCAGAGCCGCTCTACCATGCCAGTGATGCGGGCAATGTTGTTGTTGGAGGAACAGATGAAAGAGAAAAGGCACTCGATGGGGTCCTGTTGTAGGAGTCGAACACCTGGAGGTAGGAAAAGCAGGGGTAGGAGAAGGATCTGCTGTCAATAGTGACTTCTGCTCACCTTCAGATCTTAGGCACCAGAGGGAATCCCCTGATTCTGAAGGTGAATCAGAATCACCCAGGGGAATGAGAGACAGCACTGGTAAGGAAAGCAACACCAGAGCTCTCATTCCTCACAGCATGTTCAGAAATGGGTCATCGTCAAATTCCACAGATAAAAAAGCCACAATGTAAGCACTATAAGGGTAGGGATTTGTGTCCATTTTGTTCACTGCTGTATTCCCAGCGCCATAGCAGATGCTCTGTAATATTTATGGAATGAATGATGTCACCTGCTCTCAATCACACAGACTCCATGATGGTGATCAGCAGGACAATAATAATAGTAAAAATAACTACTATGTGTCAGGCACTATTCTAAACACTGCACATGTATTAGCTCCTTTAATACTCATAAAATCCTATGAGGTAGATATAGTCCCCATTTTACAGATGGTGGAACTGAATAACCTAACCAAACTATGAGAACCCCAACCCCTGCCCCAGGTTCTGTACTCACCTTGGAATTTCTGAGCCACCTCTTGGAAGTGGGAGTCCACACAACTCCAATGGCTATATAGTTGAGCCAGGCTGACATCCAGCTGCAGGTACTGGCGTAGGGCCTCCAACTCTTCTCCCGTGGGCTTCCCAGTCTGGCCTTTTCCCCCTCGGTACACAGTGCAGTAGAGCTTCTCCTCAGTCTGGGTCAGTGTCCATACCTGGTCGGCCAGCACACCACTCCAGTGTGCAGGGTTTTGCTCCCTCCACCTGAGCCCCCACATACAGGGCAGCTGTAATACTCAGTTTCCCTTCCTGCACCCTTTGGGGCCCTCCCATCTTACAACCTCTCCACATACAAAACTGATTAATGAACTACAAAATAAAAGTGCTTCAGTTATGTCATTTATCCTTACAATAATACTGCACAGGCTTACTACGTCCACTTTATAAAAGAGGTAATAGGCGACAACCATCTTTCCACCCCTCCAACAATTACCGGATTGTTAAACATTAAAAAATGGAGCTAACAGGCTCTACAACCGTGCCTCCGTTTCCTCTTTTGTACCCTAAGGTTTCTTCCATTACACCCAACATTCCCTTGCACCCCAGGCCTGCAGTGCTGAGGAGTCAGGAGCCACGGTCACTCACCGGAAGGATTGTCCGGAAGCCAGAACCAAGTCCAGGCGTAGTTCAGAGCGTGGACAGGGGATGGAAGCCCATAGAGACGGAACAGAGTATAGTGTACGATGTCCCATGCTACCGAGCAAAAGAGAGCAGGCTAATATTTCCTTATCAGTCTCCGCCCCATAATGGCCACAGCCACTCAGAACCAGCTCAACACGCCACCAACAGACCACTCCCACCAAGATCGAGAACTTGAAGGCTTACCCAAGTTCTTAATCTGTTTGAAGTCTGCCCAATCTCATTTAATTCCTCCACTTCCCGCAGGCCCCGCCCCTCAGTCGTCACTAAAGGCGCGTTCCTTCCCTTCGGTCCCACGTCCTGCCCTAAACCTCCCCTCCTCCACGACCCCAGGGTGCTCGCTCCCCTACTACTGTACCACCAGGTTGCCGTAAGAGGTATCTGCAAACATACTCTTCCGGCTTCTCCGGAGCCAGACCTCGCTCTTACAGGAAGCAGGGCTCAGGCCCGGTTTATTGAATCCAGAGGTAGCCAATCCGCGTGGAAATTAGAGGCGCCAATGAAAACGGGCGCGGCTGGGGTGGGTGGGTCTTCTCTCGGCTCCGCGGCGGTTAGCGCGCGCTGGGCTCGCTGCGGGTTCGCTCTGGGCCTTTCCTTTGCCCTAGGTAGGCCGGCTTGTCCCCACAGACCCGGTTCAGAGTGCGCCCTCGGGCCCCTGTCATCATGGCCTGAGGTCCTCTGAGCCCTAAATTCCTCACGCTTGCCTACCCACCCAACCAAATCCAATCCCTCGCCATTTTCAGAGAGCCCTTCTCCCCCGAGCCTCTCCAGTCTGCTATTCGCCCACCTCAGCCCTCCTCCCATAAACCCCTGTTCACAGAGAATCCAACGGGCCCCGAGCGCAGCTCCGGCCCACCCAGCCCCTGCGAAGACTCTCCACAGCGTCTGCCTCCTGGGGATTCTGTCTTCGCGCTCACCTTCGTAGGCCTCCTCAGACTTCACTCCTGAGGCCTGACTCCTCAGATCGTCCAGCCTGGCCCGTCGCCTGCACCTGTGTCTCTGGTCTCAGCTTTCCTTCAGTACTCCGCCACCTAACACTGACGAGCTGAAGACGGCCTGTAGAGGGGCTTTCTCTGGGAGTGGGAAAGGCAATTCAGAATGCAAGGGAAGTGTGTGGCCCTGAGGCAGCCCGTCTGCCCAGCCCCGTTGCCAGGGCGGGCTGCCAGGCCCAGGAGAGATGTATTATGTCATGGCTTCTCTTCTGGAGAAACTCGCAAAAAGCTAGGAGACCTGCACCTTTTTCTGGGTGATTTTTTAAACTTTCTACCATAGTGATTTTTGGTTGCCTTATTAGATTGCAAATTCCTTAGGGGCAAGAGTTGCAGCTGATTTATCTTTGTGCCTCCCACACACTACCTAGTGGGGAGTACCAGGAATTTGGTATCGTCAGTCAAATGCAGTGGTTATCTCAGTTATACTCCCTCAGTGGCTCTGAGACCCTTGGTAACTGCTCCCTGTGATTGTCTCATCCACTGGCACATCAGCCCACAGGTACCTAGCACTTGGAAGGCTTTCCTTCAATGAATGCTTGAATCGGAAAAGAAGGTGCCAGGATTGGGAATGAAGAGAAATCCTCTACATTCCTGCTCAGTCCCCAGTTAAGAAGGGGAAGGTCACTCACAACTACAGTGACTCTGAAGCACTTTGACCATCATCCTACTGGCAAAGAACTGAAAGTATCTGAAGTTCATGAAAGAATGGGCAGTAGACTCTTCCTCCAGCAGTTCAGCATAGTTACGGTTAAAGAGTCAGCTCTGCAGACAAACAGACCTGAGTTAAAATCCTAGCTCTACCACTTCCTAATTGTGAGAACTTAAGCAAGTTAATTTTTCAAACCTGTGACTGTGCAGATAACCTACCAATTATTAACTTCCCCTATAGTTAATGTGAAGATTACATGAAACTGTATCTAAAAGTGCTCAGTACAGGTACAGTCGCTCAGTAAGTGCATGGGAAATGGGAGCGGTCCTATTATCTTTGCTGTTGTCTTACAAATGCAGTATGAACAGCAGCCTGCAACCACTTGGGCCCAATTATGTGCCATCCCTGGGGGCAAAACCTCCCTTTGCTCTGGAAGAAGGCAAGAACAAAGAATTCCAAACAATTTATTTTGTAAGAATCAATATATTTTCTTCTTTTGAAATAAATACAAACCAGCTTGAAAGGTGGGGAAATCAATGGGAAGAGGGGAAGAGGGGACAGGCCCCAGTCTTTTTAGTACCAAATGACTCTGGCGCGACCCGGAAACGCAGTTACAAATGAGAATAATTTAAATTCTCCGCTAATTACAATATTTACAACAGCAGGGGAGGGGGGTCACCTAGTGCCCCTCTTCTGGGCTGGACAGACATCAATCCCACTGTTAGGCTGGGCAATGCCTGTTCACCTCACCACCTGCACGGCCTCAGGCCACTAGGCAGTTATGGATTCTGGCATGAGCAGGCACAGGTGGTGGGATGGCCTGTTTTATGCAGTGTCCTAACCTTGGCCCACCACCCTGCACTACAATGCTATGAGGTCTCTGGAGCTTTCTGGCCTGTGGGACCTCCTCTTTCTTTGCACAGAGCCACCATGGGCCCTTGGAGTGTTCTGTACAGTCCAGCTGCACTCAGGGCAGGAGGGACCTCCCCCACCCAACTTCCCCTGAGACTGGCCCCAAGACCAGGAATGAGTCAGTGCAGAGGCCGGTGCCACTCCAGGACAGTGAACAAAAAGGAGAGAGGTGGCAGGGCACTGTAGGTTGGGCTGTGCTGGGCAGTATCAGTCACTATCACTGGTCTCGCTGCTCTGCTCACCCTGGACCTTGCTGCGGTGCTGCAGAGCCCTATGATAGGCGATCTGCACTGACTTGCGGATGTTAGACTTGCGGCCCTCCAGCATCTTCTCCTTGTCGAGGTCCTGGTTCACACCCAGAGGAACCAGCTTAGTTCTAGGCAGCCACTGCCTATAAGATGAGGTGAGGAATAAGTCAGTCATCTCTAGGAGAGCAACAAGCACCAGCCTTCCTCACTCCATTCATTCAAAAATACCTCTTGAAAGCCAGGCTGTGGTGGGTACGGGGGTTACAGAGACCAAGAGACATAGTCCCTGCCCTCAAAGTGCTCACAGGAGGAGCCCTGACCTAACCTGAAAAAGGTACCCTGTCCCATAGGCTGCAGGCAGTCTTTACTGATATTAAATATCCTCTGCAGACAAACAAAAAGATTATGTATGTAAATGAGACAACAGGGATTCAGAATCTGAATGTTTATGCCTGCTTTATCCCCATCCTGTCACTATGGAGGTAGAAGTGGGAAAACTCAGAGTCTGGGTGGAGAACTACTTTCATATTTGTCACAGTCACCGATGGTCCTTTGTTTTCCAGCTATGGTGTTTGTGAGCTGCTGCCCACTCAGTCACTCAGACTCATGGCCAACACAACAGTTTTGCTCAAAGATCTAAGTCCCTCTCCAATGATTTGTGATAGCTTAGTCTGACTGTTGAAAGAATTTCCTGGCAGCCTATCCCCATACCCAGGGTTGTATTTGTGGATGTAAGTCACCAAATACCCCCTTCTCCCTTACCAGGTTCTCTTGTTGTCAAAGAAGAGGACGAGGTAGAGATGCTCTCGGGCTTCCTGGGTCATCTGCTCCCCAAGTTTCAGCACCTCCAGTGGGGGCACAGGAATGGGAACCCCATGGTGGAACATACCTTCCCGGGGCATCTTTGGATCAATGATCTGAAGGAGTAATAAGACCTTGGTTTTGTTCAGGCCCTTTCTTCCCCACGAATTTGGAGACTCCTTTGCAGTGGGGACATAGAAAGGTTATTATGCCTCCAGGACTGCAATGTTGACCTTCCTGAACTATTTCAGAGCCCAAGGGGTAAAGAAAAGGGAGAGATGAATAAACTAATTGGGGACCTCTGTCTATCTGCCAAAGACCCTTGTACTCTGCAGCTCAGCAAAACAGTAAAAGTCTGGTAATTGTGAGTCTGCATTCTGGGGTTGACAGGCAAGGGATATGACAAGAAAAGCAGAAGCCTACCAGAGCTGGGTATGATGGATACCCTCGGCATTTGGCCCACACCAGGTCCAGAGCATCCAGAGGGGAGTCCTCATCCTCCGACAGCCAGCCAGTTCCCCGACCCAGACTCTTCCTAACCACTTCACAGGAATGGGAGAGAGGGGGCAGATCAGCAGACAGGGGGCTGGCAAGGCCCGGATACTGGGCCCCCAGCATCCCTGGCCTTGGGTAACAGTACTTACTGCTGTGGCCCACACTGCGGCCAGTGCCCACGGAGTAGGCCTCATTCTCAGTGCCTGAGGTATCTTCACTGCTATCCTCTGGAAACGTGCCCCGAGAAAAGGAGGGCTTGCCCCTGCCTTGTTTTGAGGGTGTTGTGCTGTAGACAAGACAAGGGGAGCTTAGCTCAAAGGAGAAGGGTGGAGAATGGTGTGGTGGGGTGTCCTTTCTTTTTTAAACCCTTAGCACCTAAAACTTTTGGAAAGCAAAAGTCACTTAAAGAATTTCAAATCCAAATGCCCTCTTTTGGGACTAGGCAATAATTTGACTGATGTGGGTTGGATTTAGCAGTGGCGGTGTTGAATGCATGCCCTGTCTAAAAGCAATACTGGCCAGATTTGCCAGATCTAATTTTTAAAAAATTAGAGGAGTTTTATGTGGCATTTCTGGATTCATTAAAAAGAAAAAAATACCCCACCATGCTGGCCAAACAAAGTATGTCTTCGGCCAAATCCAGGCCACAGAAGGCATCAGTTTATACCCTCTGCTCTAAAACATCAGGTGAACCCAGTATGGTTCCTCCATTCCATTATGGTGAAATTCACATCTATTCCATTATTTTGCAGAGAACCTTGGGTTTGAGCCATCTTAATCTAGGCTGAGATGGCTGCTGCCCCATCTCCCATAGGGAAACCCAGAAGAGCAACCCAGAGGCAGGCTTTGATCTGGAGGGCTGGTACCTGGTTCGGTCTGAGGCAGCACTGCTGCTGCTACTGCTGCTGGACTCAGAGTCTGAGCTGCTCCGGGGAAGGCTGCAGTCATTACGATATACCAAGAAGCTCTTCTTCACTGGCTGGTTTCCACTGCTGAAGCCATTGGCTGGTAAGTCTTGGTTGGGGGGAGGAGGAGGGGGAGGAGGGAAGGAATCGGTCAGGAAGATGTAGATCAGAGATGGCATAGGGGTCAGAGGTACTTAGAGCCTTGCTTCCCCTTCTGTGCTGGAAAATTCCTCCAACCTTGGCCAGCAGAGCTAGCTCTGGGCAGTGTCCACCACAGTTGGCCACAGTTCTGCCCCACCCCTTACACTTCCCTTGGCAGTTATAGACCTTAGGACACACAAGGCTTAAAGGGCAGGAGATCCCCAAAGGAGGGTGAAAAGAGAAGAAGTGAAGTGATACAATGGAGGGGGCCCTGGATGGGAATCTAGCTGGATCAGTGTCTTTGGGTTTCAGTTTCCCAGTCTGTAAAATGAGGGGATTGAATTAAAGGATTCCTAAGGGCCCTTCTAGCTTTGACATATTATGGGCAAATGAAGGGATAGGTGGAAGTTATGTTGGGAAGGATGGCAGCTTTGCTCACTCTCTTGGGGGACTGGGTGATGGTGAGGCTCACCCATTGGGGGATCTTCTGTGGATTTATCACTGTCGCTGTCTGAGCTCGAACTGGGCCGGGGGCTCCTACCCCGCTTGCGCTGACGGAGGGAGCCCATGATGGGGAGCTGGGGGGGCCCCACAGGACTGCCTCCATGGCTGGGGGTCATCTGGCTCTCCCGGTTTTTGGGGGGCCGGCCCGGCCTCTTGGGCGGTCCAGCTGTCTTCGGGTTCTTTTTGGAGAACAGAACTGAGGTTCTCCTGCCCACCTCATGTGCGGGGGTTGAGGACATGTTGGGACCCAGGCCTGGAGCAGAGAAAGAGAGAAGGAGAGTTCGTGAGGGGCCTGATGTGGGAAAGGTAAATGTCCAGGATATGCCCTGGGTGTATAGGACCATTATTCCAGCTATTGTTGGGGAGATGAGTTGGGGATCATGGAACTGGGAACGGTGTTTCTTACACAAATAGCCACAGAGGCAGCTAAGAGGCCCCTGACTGGGGAATGAGGGAGAAAGTACAGCTAGCTATACAGGAAAGACCT